GGAGGCCGGGCGCGGTGGGACTGCCTCTGCCGCGGGGATCGCGTCGCCGCGCTGTGGTAACTGCGCTGCAGGGACCTTAAAGAAAGTCCGGCTTAATTAGCGGAGCGCGTGGGTAATGCCGGACCGGCTAATGGTGATTTTTCCTCTAAATGAACTGAGGGCTGTGAGGCTTGGGATTTTCTCATCTGAGAGACATTTGTCGTTTACTGCTATCGGCCTTGGTTTTTCATTGTTTGGTTTGGTTTGGTTTTGTTTTTTCCCTCTCAGGAGTTTAATTTTAAATGAGGGAATTTCCTTTTTAGAAAGCGTTTGTGTAAAAATCATCCTTGTTTAACAATTCACAGGTTGCGTTTTCAAAATAAGGCCAGGTGCGGTGAGGAGGTGTGAATAATGAATACAGTCATAACTCAGCTTCGAGCTGTCCTAACGCTGCAAATGTGTATTATATCTATTGTCTACTTATACGTATGTATTGCAGTTTTTACAATATGCAGTCAGTTTTGTGTGCTCCTTCAGCAGAAGCTCTTTTCCTCACTCTTTGTAAATATGACACATTGCCCAGTTACTGCTATAATGGCGGAGTGACTTCACGTACCTACCGAGAGGCACCGGTGTGCTTACCCTGAGACCAGTGGAAGTGTGGGCACGCACCGGGGACCAGTTTTGTCGGGCCTTGGCTCCAGAGGCTAATACGATAATGCCATTTCTAAAACTTATAAAGGAACACTTTTATTAATGTTCCATCAAGCTGCGATCGTCGTCGCACAACGTGTGCTTTCTGTGTCATATGCTTTATGGTGCGGGTAGAAATATGCCCAGACCCCACCTTAAGTAAAACAAATGCTTTATGGTATTTATTTACAGTGCAGAAGGATCAATACAGCCATTGAAACTTCTCTTTTTATTGTTCTATACAATTAACATATAGTGTCAGTGCTTCAGAAAGTAATAACCTAAGAACTGGAAGAAGAATATAAATATTTGAAAAGGGTCTTTCAGGCATCAGCGATGCTTGAATTGAAGTTCTTTAGTTTGTAGCCTTTTATATCACTGCAGACAGAGGTATCTGCGGCTACACACTCTTAATCCCGAGTAAGAAGCTGTATTTGCAAGATGCTTTTCACCGTCGTTGATTTCAGCAGGTTTTGAGGGCGTTCAGCATCTGTTCAGGATGTTATTAGGGACCTGTGAACCGTAAGATGCTCTTCTCAGCGGGTGGATCCGGCCGCTGCGGAGGTCTGTGCTATTGGGGCTCAGTTGCTGCTGGAACTCCCGCAGTCTGATGAGGGAAGTGTTGCACCAAACGATTGCTGGAGAGCTGGGGATGCAGAATTTAACAATTTTTGTCGTCTTGGGCAATTCACACTATTGTTGCAGTAAAAAATACCATGTAATGACTATGAACTCCTGAGGAAAACAAAGCATGCTTTTGAAAAAGCAGGCTGTAACCAGCATGTGGGAAGACTTTACTTCTAAAGTGTCCTGTTTTTTGGCTGATGCTGAAATCCAGGAATAATAGAAATCGCCTAGCTGGGTAGTGAGAAAGAAGGCTGCCCACGTCCCTGGGTAAATGGATTCTGAAATTTGCTGCTCGGTGTACCTGACACAGGGTCAAACTAAGGAGCTGTGTGCTTATGGCTTGCAGGTGCTGACCTACGTTGCTGAAGTTTGCTGGGGACCCTAAATTAACAAATGTCTAACCTACATTGTAGAGGTGGTGTAGAAATACTTCACTTGTCTAGAGTTAGCCCAGGTATGTCTGTACCATGAGGAGTTACGTAGCTTGACATACTTACTTCGTTAGTGTGTCAGCCCTGCGTAGTTTCTCTTGAGTTGTCACCAGTTATTTTGGACTTATGATTGGAGCTTAAAGATTAGTGAGGCTTTTGTTTGGTTTTAGGTTACTGCCTGGTATCTGAAAAGCTGTTAGTATACAGAGTGTTTAAAGAAAGGCAGAAGCTTGCAATTTCATGACTTTCTTTGATTGCAGGACCTGGAGCTTAAGGGAGAAAATGCCAAGCAGCGCAATACTGCCAAGTGTGTTCATGTAGCTGTTGAGGGATTAGTGCCTATCTGTGAAGAGGCCCCTCAGCCCGGTGCAAGGTTATCAATGTGCTGTTATCTTTCTTCCAGTTGTAAAAAGCAGCAATCAGCTGAGGGTCCCGGTACGGTGGAGAGGTCAGGCAACTGCAGCCGCAGTGACAGAAAGCACAAAACCTCAAATTCAGCCAGAAGTGCGGTAAGTTTGCAGTGAGGTCTGGGTGGGTGTGACCTGCTGTCGTTGCCTTCTGTCTCTCTCCGATATGGTATGTATGCTGCTTTACTTGCATAACAAAGCTGGTTATGTAGTAAAATGTGGCAGTCACAGGGCTTGATCTAGGTTTTTTGTGCATGTGTAATTGCTTTTATCTGGTTGGCTGCAATCACCGAGCCTCTTGTTTTCACAATTCGGTGGGGTAAGGATTGCCTGCCTTGTTCTCTGCAGAATGCAGTGAGGCAGTGGCCCACGGTAAGGCCTGAGGCAGTGCAGAAGCAACAGAAGAACAAACAGTAGGATATGATTATTATTTGAGGTTCTGGTTCCTGCTTCCTGGGTTTTGTTCAGCAACCTCCTGACAGACACTCCAGGAGGAGGGGAATGGAAACTGAGGTCCCAACCCATCGGGGCAGGCCTAGGCTCCTCTCAGTGCCCTTTGTAAGACTTTGGCTTTAACAAGAGGAGGGCAAAGCTCCCCGTGCAACCTCAGCTCCGTCCGCTCAGGAGGAGAGAGATCTTGGTCACTGGCCTCTTTTGGGCAGGAGAAACAATTCCATGGGGAAATCCACCTCTTGGGTGAGAGTTGTGATCAGCAGCCCTTTCTGTAAAAGCTGATACTGCCATCTGCTCCAGTCTGCTGTGAGGGACCTTATCCTTCGAACAGTGTGGTGGACCTGCACCTGGATAGAAAACCCATTGTGGGGAAAAAAAAACCCAACAACCTAAACAAAATGAACCCTGCACTTATTTTATGTGTAGAATGGCTCTTTGCTGCTTTCACTGCTTTGGGAGATGAGATGTGTCTCCAAAGTAATGAAGACAAAGACCTGTGTGGGTAGCTCATCTGTTTTCTGTGGAAGCTGCTGCGTGGTTTGGTTGGAATCTACAGCTGGCGTTCAGCTGAGATAGTTCCTTAGACCCTGTTTTATAACCTCCCTGACAGCCTTCAGCTGCGAGATAATTTTCTCGGTATATTTCCAGTTAAACTCTGTGTTGCAAAATGATTACTTTTTTAAAAAAAGTAAAGATCGTGTAAATACTTGTTCTCTGGCTATTCATGCTTGTAGTTCATATTTTTACATAAGCAGAATGAGCTTCTAAATAAGATGCTGCTTTTGCAAAAGACAAATGCAGAAGGATAAGCTGATTGTTCTGTAATAATAATAATAATTAAAAAAAAAAAGCAGTAGGTCACTAGGATTTGAAATATCTCTTGCTTCTGTAGGAAACCTAAAACAGGAATCTTGATGTTAAACATGGGAGGTCCAGAACGGCTGGATGATGTGCATGATTTCTTACTTCGTCTCTTCCTGGACAGAGATCTAATGACGCTTCCAGCTCAAAAGTGAGAAACACTGTGAAGTCCTGTGTTGCAGTCAGTGTTGGGTGTTGCTGTCTTAGCTGTAGGCTTGGAGGTTTAACTTCTGTGTATATCAGCATTTCTTAAGACTGTTTCATCTTGGGACCAGTCAGTGCAAGAAACAGTGTTATAATTCTCTGGAAATAGGCGTGCCAAGTTCGTTCTCTTCTAATTGCAAATTGGGGTTTCCTGTCACTTAGTAAGTTTGAGAAGGGTGATGGAATATAACATTAAACAAGCCATGCAATGATGGTTGGCTCTAATTTGGAGAGATTGCCACGGACAGCCCACTGCAGCGGAGAGATTTGGGGAAGGGAGTGGTGATTTGGGTTATGATATTAATACGTGTACCTTTTGAATGCTTTAGTAAATTAGCACCTTTCATTGCCAAACGCCGCACACCGAAAATCCAGGAGCAGTACAGCAGGATTGGAGGTGGATCACCAATCAAGAAGTGGACGGCGGTGCAGGGAGAAGGCATGGTGAAACTGCTGGACAGCATGTCTCCTCGCACTGGTACTTCTTTACTGTGCTTGTTAAAAGTTTCTTTTGTATCATGTGTTGAAAGTATGCTTGTAAAGCAGCTTTTGCTTGTTGATTTTTGTGTGTGTGAACAGTGTTCTCGCTGTTCATAACAAATATATTGCAGAAGTTCTTATTCGTTAAAAACTTAGCATATCCAAAATCACACATGCAAATGTGCTTTTGTGGTCACTTCTGTGGCTGCATTGGAGAATGGCTTTGATTTTGGAGAGTATTGTGGGTACTTGTTCAACCTGCAGTAACAGTGTAGCACCAAAAGCCAACAACCAAACATTTACCCACCTTCTCAGGCTGGACCCGGCATGTGCTGTGGTCCAGCTGCCAGGCATCTGGCCTAAACTGGTGGTCTCTGCTCCGTTTTTCATCGAGAGAGAGTAGGGCTTGGAGAGAAGGTGATTCAGTTCATCCTAAGGTCATTATCAAAGATGGGCAGGTGTCACCCTCTACAGGTACACTTACCTCTCTCCTACAGTAGACAAGTATCTTACTTTCAGATGGCTGAAGCAAGGTGACAGGAGTCTCTGTTGGTGTGTATGACTGCAAGGTCTCATACCTTGCCCTGTAAGCCCTGCTTGAGCTTGAAGAAGTCTACACTGAAGACAAGTGGTTGAGCCTTAGATGATAAGAAAGGGAAGTGTATTTCATGTGAACAAATAAGGCAGGCATGGGAGAAGGGTGTTGGACTGGCATTCGCACTAGCATAAATGGGGTGGGGATTTCTGACCATTGGCAGTGGCAGTATAATCTCATGTAATTCTCTTACCTTTTATGAAGAAGTAGAGTGGGAGAATGATGCTCCTCTTAGGCTGCGTGTGTACGTGCACACAGAGAGCAAAGAACGACTGTCGATCTAGGGTTTCCTGGTTGTTCATGTTCTGCACACTGATGCTATTGAGTTTCACAGGGGGTGGGATCTCCTGCTGTAAAATGCACGGCCACCTTCTCGTGGCTGCTTCTTGTAGCTAACTGCAGGACGGTGTCATTCAGCTGCTGCACACTCACAGCAGCCAGCAGGTAGGGCTCGGAGGACAGTGCAGCGTTCCCTGCTCCTGCTGCTTCCTGCAAGGGCCCTTCCCTCTTCAGGGCCGGCTTGGCTGGGACGCTGTGCAGGGACTGTCTGATGTAGAACAGCTCTGAGGCCAGAGCTTAACGCTATAAAGCCTTTTGTATTTGCCTTTGTTACGCCAGACTGAGCCTAAAGAATAGGTAACTGCATGGGAGGGTGTCGGGAGTCTGACTGTTCTCCAAAGCCGCAGGTGTCTTTCATTCCTCTGAAATGTCCCTCTGCAACTATTGCTTGGATGTATCCAGAGCCTTTAAAACTTTGTCTGAATCTGTAACTATTAATAATGGATAAAAGAACACACACCAATTAGCCCTGATTTCAGGACTGAAGAGGAGGTCAGTTGGAAGAAAAGACAAGGTTTCATAGCTGAATGTTGCAGGGCTTGGTTGAGTGACAGCAGTGAGCCCCACCCGAGGACATGAGCAGGAGATAAGGCCTAACGGTTTGGCTTGGGTGGAGGTAGATACTGTCTTTGCCAGTTCCTCCTTGATGACAAGAAAACTTGAAAGGTGAATACAACCTCCCTCTCCTCTCTCCAGATCACCGAATCTCTCTGAACCTTGCTCCCTCGCAGCAAGGAGCTGTGACTTTTATGGATTACCCTGTGCCAAGCTACCTGGTAGCACTAGTGTGATGGGAAATGGGTGCAGATGCTTCTGTGAATGTCCTTTTACTAAGGGCTTCAGCTTACATGTTTTACCGTGCAATTGCAATGGGCTAGGTGTGTAAACACAGACAACTATGGGCATTTGCATAAGGTTAATTTGCTGTGATTCAGCCATGTTCAACGTCTCTCCTAAAACCTCCAACCATATTGATACATGAGTCATTTTTCACCCAGGCTAAGTGCATTCATGGTGAATTTGCAGTGGTTTAGCTAAACTGCTTTCAAATTGATTGTTAGTTGAATTTGACTTCAGCTTGTATTGTGCAGTTAGCAGCAGAGGAGAAACAGACTTCTAGTTCTTCTCTGCTGCTTGCTGAAGGTGATAGGTCATTTGCTTACAGTACCTTTTATGCTACAGTTTCTTGTTCTGTGACATTAAAACTGTGGTGTTAATAAACGTGAATGGCAGCACTAGAAATTAAACTTCCACATTCACGTAGCAGCTCAAGGGTGACGGCCACATTCTGTGTCTGGCCTCTTATGGGACAGGCAGAAAAAGACAGTGAATCACTACTGCTTTGACAAAAGCCAGGAGAAACAGGAACGCGATGGCTGGTCTGTCTGAAATGACCTGTCTGGGGGTCACCTTTGTTCCGATAAGGTGTTTCTCTGCATTATGCTTTTTGTTCTTGAAGCAGCAGACTACCTTTGTGAGTAGAAGGAAATAACGAGCTCACTAAGCTGCCTGCTGAATTCCTCACCGATGTGTTAGCTACAGATAATACTTCTCATCCTGCCACTCCAGTAGGAGCACTAAACATTTTTAATAGAAAAACTGCTGGAGTAAGAGAAGCCAAAGAGGAGAGCTCTCTGTTCTCTTCAGCTCAGCAGCTTTACAATGCGTGGTGCTGCAAGCCGCCTTCTCCCTTCAGTTTCCATGACCTTTGCTGATGTGATGCTGGTGTGTCAGGGAATCCCCCTCCCTGTTTGACAATACACGTTATTTGATTCCTAGCTATATTGTAGTTCTTTGTGGCACCTGCTTCAGACTTGGGTAGAAAAAGGCTAGAGGTAGAAGATTGGTAAAAGGCTCTGGAAGGTGAAAAGTAATGCTCTTGGAAGGCTAGAACCAAATTTATTTCATTCGTTCAGCATGTAACGTGTACTGATACCTTCATTCAGGTGATGTTCGATCCTTTTTTCCACAGATGCTACTCTCTAGCTTAATTCCAGCTGTAGTCCCTGCAAGGATAGTCAAAGCCTGAAGCCAAAACCGCACCGAGCTGTACGGTAGAGTTTTTAGCAGCAGCAGCAGCAGCAGCCCCTGAAGGGTCAGGCTTGCAACAGGTTCTGAAGATAAAGCTTAAAAAGTTTATCTGCTTTTCTCAGTGTACCACTCCTGCTTGCTTTTGTTTGGTGACTGCTTTTTGTGAAGTCACGCCCGCCTCTGTGCAGTTCTTACACCTGATAAGTCGATTAGAGACCTTTTTTACTTAACAGTAGCTGCGGTTTTAAAAATTGAATGTGCTAACCATTGCTAACAATTGAATTGAGTGCTAACCATTTCCTTAAGTATTTCGAGTAACCTTGCAGCAATACAGAGTACTGTGTTGCTTCAGAATAGCTTGAAACAGTTGGATGTGCTTCCAGACTGAGCTACGCGTTTCGGAATATCGTGTGCTCACAGGTAGCACTTTGGGAGCGCTGAGCTCTGTTAATGAGTAACTTGCAGGTTGCGGTGGTAAGACTTCAAACATGTGGCAAAGAAGAAGTACTTTGCATACTTGTTTTACCTTGATCAGGACTTTTTGGGTGTAGAGTTTATAGTTGCTGTGTATTTGCAGTTGGTGAAGAGCTCATGTTAGACAGTATCAATAACCACCTGAAATTCCCTCCTGTGTAAATTAATCAATCTACTGATTTACTGACTTGTAGTATACATTTGACATGTTACACTTCGGCAATGGGACTAATATAAAGTAGTAAATAAACAGCCTCACCCATGTCATCTGGGAACAATATAATTTTAAAATTAAGCTTTATTGTTAGAGGCAGCTGTCTGAAAATGAACAAGAGTTCTTCCTTCTGAATGAGTGAGGTTGGGTAGGCTCCGTAGTCTGTATGAATAAATCACACAAACATGGTGATAGGAAAATCCATTTCTATTGTTGGGGTCTTTTTTCAGTGCTGGCATCAAATAGGCTAGTGTCTTGCAATGGTAATTAAATTTTAAGAAGGCACATCTTGATTTTTTTTATTGTTTTTAATTATAATGGTTCTTAATATTTCTTACAAGCTGTATTTTAGCTGGGATTCCCTTGTCAGCAGAAAGAAAGCTCACAGGATGAGAGGGGGTCACGTTGGTTCTTTGGACTGGCAGCTCTTCGTGGAAGGAGATGTCACTCTATTTCCAGTAGTTCTGACTCTAACTGTAATGACAAAATGAATATGTATACAGACATGAAAATCTCTCCTTTGCTGCTTGTGATCCAGGACAAAACATAATACTGCGAGAGTGTTGGCCATGTTTTTTCCCAGTGTGTCCCTTCCCAGGTTAAACTCCTACTGTCTTCGCTCTGTTCAGTCAGACTTTTGTTTTTAATGCCATTTAAAAAAGTTATGAGGTTACTGGCTCCTGGGGCTCCTGAAGTTGGGTCGTTATTTGCTGCTGCTCTCCGCTGGGAGTTCTCTTGCCTCCTGCAGAGAACTGGGGGTGACTAAACTTGTTTTCTGAATCCTGTGTAAATGCATGGAGTGGAGACCAAGCACGGGACATCTGCTTCCTTCAGAAACCTGTTCAATGTTATTTCAGAGCTAGTGACCCGGAAACCCTGAAAAAGAAACTTTGCTTTTATTCTCCTAAGAACCTCTGTCCTCTACTTAAAAAAAAACCAAAATAAAACAAGAAACCTGCCCTCCCTCCCTCCCCCTAACCAAACCATACTCCCCAAACCTTGAAGCCCACAAAATGGATGAGATGAAAAATGGAAAAACCTCAAATGTTGTCCTTGGAGAGAATAATATTGCCTCCAAAATAAAGTGTTTAAAGGCATGAAGATTTCTATGAAAAACACCCAGAAAACAGAATGGAAGAACATGTGTCCCTTACTCAGTACCACTGATCTCCTGCCCCAAACAAAGTCCTGGTCCTTGGGGGTTTATGTGCAAACGGAGCAGACTTACCAGCGTGGGGGAAGCATCTTCTCTTGCAAGGATGGTGACCAGTTGAATCAAACGATGGTTCCACCTTGTCTTGTTTTTAGCTTTGTTTTTTAATGTGGATAACTGGAGGCAAGGAAATGGAAAGAAATGAAATAGAATTACATCTGCATAAAATGATGAAGGAAAAGATAAAGTACGTGAGGGAAACGCAAGGGAGCCAGGTCTTTGCTGAAGCTGAAATAGGAGTTAGAGGGCAAGGAAGGGAATGTGGAGCAAACGGTTGGTACCTGGGAATTCTGCCTGAACGCCCCTGCAGTGCTGGGACTGGGGGCTTGATCCGGCAAAGGCATATGAATCCTTCATGCGCTGAAGGCATCCTGTTTTGATGACTTCTCTATTGGCATCTGGAGCATGAAAGGGATAAAATTACCTGATTTTCTTGAAATGCCTTATAGGTAGCTAATGTTTATAAGGTGCAGGGCCTTTTCCTGTTTGAAGCTGATCCCTGTAGAGCAGATTATCTCAGTGCTGGTGCACAAAATTGCAGCCCAATTATATTTGAAAGTTTAGGTAAATAAAATTTCCTGGAATGTGCAAACTGCTTAAGCAATGTGTTTCCTTTTGTATGGTGGAATGAAGAAAGCCTTGCCTTTCCTAAGGTTTTGGCATTTTAATTACATTGGTGTATTTGAAACATCTGATTTCTGATTTCAGTAAGCGAGTTGAGCTGTGCTGTTAGGAAGCCTGTAACACGTCTGTAACTGTGGTCTGTGTTAGGGCATAGTAGTGTTCATTTAGCATCTTGTAGTGACACTTTTTTACCAATACATCCTTTAAATCAGAACTTTCCCAGCAAAACATGAGCTCTGTACAGTCTGGAAGCCACTCCTCTGCTAAACTAAGTAAAAGCAAAACAGTGATGCTTCCTGCAGAAGCAAACAATAGTATAAATCACTTTTAAATTCTAATAACAGCAAAGTGAGTTACCAGAAAAATACTTTGCCAAAGAAGGATGTGTTTATATGACAGTGGTTTAGAAAATTATCAAGAAGTTTCAACGGTTATTTCAACGGTTTCAGTCTGTCTGGTTCTATACTTTGTACTTACTAATGACGTGTTATTGAGAGTTCTTGGGGTTTTTTTCTGCAATTTCTTTTCCTGTGCTTTGGCTGGCAGCGCCTCACAAGTACTACATTGGCTTCCGGTACGTCCATCCTCTGACAGAAGAAGCAATTGAAGAGATGGAGAAAGATGGCATTGAAAGGGCTATCGCTTTCACGCAGTACCCACAGTACAGTTGTTCTACCACAGGTGAGTGTCTGTGCAGGAGCAGAGCACGGACAGAGGCGAACGTAGGCACGTGTCTGCGAGCCTTGAGGGAGCGTGCGGAGTGTCAGTGCAAGCTGTCCTGTCTTCCTCAAAGTGCCCCTTCCTGTTGGCTTCATTGCCAACTCGAGGTCCTCTGTATTTACTATAATTCTGAATTTTAGGTAGAAACTTCTTAACTCAGGATAGCTTTATGTTACCATTGTTATTGTGAGATAACATAAACTGAAGGCTCGGGAACATAACTGAGTAAGCTTTCTTCATGGAAACTAGCGCAATAATTGCTCTTCAGTTAAAGAATGGTTTAGCGAATTGTTCTTGGCTGGTACGTTGTATGAACTTTGATATAATTGCTCCCATTTGAGGCTCTCAGTTCTGACTTGCAGTTGCATTTTAAATATGTAGCATTTTAAAATATAACATCTTGCTACAAAACTGATTTCATCTGACAAGTTGCTAATGCCTTGGCTGAACTTATGTTCTTAATTCTGTGCATTTCAGGAAGCAGTTTAAATGCCATTTATCGCTACTATAATAAAAAACGGGAGAAGCCGAAGATGAAGTGGAGTATAATTGACCGATGGCCCACACATCCCCTTCTTATTCAGGTATGGATTTGTGTGAAAGCCTTTGAGATTAGCAGTCAGAATGAGAGGTGTGAACTGAGCAGGTCTGGTATGTTATCAAATTGGGCTTTTCTTAGATTGGTTGATGTAGGAGAAACCTGGTATCTTTGCATTGCCAGATGACTTTAAAACAACAAAGAACTAAGTAAATACAGATGTTTATTGAGTTTCGTTTTTAGAAATATTTGCTACCAGTAAAAACAGTATAATGTTAAGCAAACATTCTGAGGAAACACTTTACTTAGATCAAGTCTTAGCTTCTAACAAAGCTTACAAGATTTTTAGCCATAGAATGTACTAAAAGAAGATTAACCTATTTGCTGATTTAGGCTGTGTTTATATATTTTCTTTAAAAAAAAATACTTGAGGAGAATAAAAGGAATGCTTCAATTTGAGAGTACATTTTAGTTATGGTAATGAAATGTGTCTTGTCTACTGTGTGTGAAATTACAGGTGAAGGATGGTTATTTCATGCTAGATGTTTTGGCATGATAATGTGTGAAAGTGACCACCATGCATATCTTGTTTTAAAAGCATAGTCATATTATCCTAACAGCGTTGGCTGGAAGGGACCTCTAGAGGTCAAATTCCTGCTCAGGGCAGGTCCATGGTTGACAAACATACAGATCATGTTGGTTTGTCAGATTCTCATCCAGCAGCAAAGAGGCAATTCTAGGCACGGCACTGGCTGTGGCAGGAGCAATTAAGGGAAACCACCTTGCTCCTTGCTTTTCAGAGAAAATGGCATTTTTATCTTTCTTGGGGAGCTTCTCCTCTAGTTTGGGTTTTGTGGTGTGCTGAGCAGATGATAAAAATGACTGAAGGAAGGCAGGGTGGAACTGCCCACACTGTGTGACGTTCCCCTGACAAGCTGCCTGAGTGTGATGCTGTCCTGGGACATGCCATTGTTACCGTGCACCCTTCAGGCCTTCAGTATGTATTCTCCCTGCCTTCAGTGAAACATCTCAGCGAGTTTAGGAACTTTCATATCTTCAGGGAACCTGCAAAATGGTTTCCATTAGACAGAGTACATACAACCCCCCCTTTTTTTTTTTTTTAATAAGCTCACCAGTGTGCGTTTCCTTAAGCCCGGGGAGGCTGTAATTAAAAGGGCTGGCTCAGCCCCTGATTATAAAGTTGAAATGGAAATTAAATATTTTTTAACATTTCTGATCTGTTTTTCACTGTAAAATATTCGAGAGAAGACCATGCAGACAGAGTTGTTTCATGCTCCTGCAGCACCAGATGCCAGCAGTGATGGCAGCTTTTCTCTCTGTACGCTCCCTCAGCCTACCTGTGTGTATGCAGTGTTACGGCTGGCAGTGGGAGTGGAAGGTCAGAGGTATTTCCCTGCTTTTTTGTGTAGTACTAAGAACATTTCAGATGTTGATGGACAGAGGTGTCCCATCTCTCCCGTGTTCTCTCCCATCAGCTGAGCTCAAGATGGAGGTCTCTGAATACAGTTATCTGAAACTTGGCTCAGCAGTCCATTAGGGAACACCTTTCGCAGAGCAGGCTTTTCTCTGATGCCGTGTGTATGTACTCTAATTTAGTCTAAGTGTAATGGCGCTGCTAAGAGAGGATGGTTGTGCTCTGCCCATTCACCGTTTCTTTCTCCCCCTGCCCTAGCAGCTGCACACGTGTGCCCTCTGTGGCCAGGGAACTGCTCTTCAGAGGCGGTAGAGGAGACTTGGGTTGAATTGGTTATTTTCTTTCAGTTTGTTACCAGCATCTTAAAACCACTGGTATGATCAAAAGTTCACGAGGGCCTTTGGTGTGTTGGAATTGGGCACTGTGTGATACTGTGTACGTGACAGTATGTAATACGTGCTATCTCTCGCTATTGCCCCATGCTATTGCCCCACGCAAAAAGGAGATTTTGAAGTTCTTAAGGCAACCTGGAACATCAAAGCTGCCTGTCTCGGGTCATTTGAGATCACATAATGCCTCTCAGTGTTTCTGATTCAGGTCTTTCCTTTTTTTTTCTGAACAGTGCTTCACCGATCACATACAGAAGGAACTGAACCTGTTTCCACCCGACAAAAGGAAAGATGTCGTCATCCTCTTCTCGGCTCACTCGCTGCCCATGTCTGTGAGTTACGTCAGGTTGTTTCTGTCGTTGTTGGACCAGAGTCACACTAGCTGGGCTGAATGGAAGGGTATGCGGCTCGCACACCCGCAGGGTGGAGCCACAGTTGTGGAAGTGCCAGGCAAATATAAAAGAGAAATATGAAGGTGAGTTAGTGAGTTGCAGCTGGAAGCCTGACACAGAGCTGAAGGTGAGGCACGTGAGCTGTGATTACCCTCCTGCATGCTTACTCAGATCTGTGCTGTAGGTCACCATTGAAGATGGGGCGCTGGGTCAGGTCAGGCTTGGTATGGCTGCTTTCATGGCCTTATGAACTTGCCAGCTCAAACACAGATGGTAACGGAGGGAAAAATTTGGTTATTTTCTCACCTCTAGAAAGCAGTAATAATAATTTTCCCTGAAGGAATGAAACTAAATCTTTGCAAGGTTGCAATAAATGACTTCTGTCAGCAACCAGCGGCTGACAGCAGCTCTTGGATCATTTTTCAAAAATGCAGTGCAGTTACCAAAATGTAACTACATCTATATATGATGATAGAAGAATTTATCTTTTATCTTGGGAAGCAGGAGGAGTAGATGTCCTGATAAAGCAGCTTCATCATAGGTTTTGCTGGGCAGGAAATTTCTTCCCTGTTTCGGATGAGCCAGGCACTTGATACGGCCCGTTCTGGGCGCAGCCACATCACGTGCAGCGTGCTCACCTTTCCCAGTCTTTAGGTGATCTTTGCCAAACATGTTCACTGGAAGAAAAAGGTCTGATGTTTTTGTGTTGAAGGTAGTGAACCGTGGTGATCCGTATCCTCAGGAAGTGGGAGCTACTGTCCAGAGAGTCATGGAGAAGCTGAACTACTCCAACCCTTACAGGCTTGTGTGGCAGTCCAAGGTATGTGCTCAGGGAAGCTGTAAAGCCACCTGCCACTGTAAAGCTCTTCAGGTGATGGAGTTTATGATCTTCCAGCTTAAGAAGATCATAACCTCAGTGCCTTTTTCCCATTTTCAGCAAGTATTTCTGCTAGAACAGAATCCCCATCTTTTACTCAAATTCAGTCTTTCCAGATACTCTGTCCACAGTTTCTCACCTTTTTTGTATATTGTGTCATTTTAAAGTAGATTTTTGATGTGTCTGTTAGAAAACCTATGATCTCATAACATCTAGTTTGGCATTTGTCTTTCTCTGTCAGAAGGAAAAATCAAGCACTTTTAAGTTGTTGCTTTTGGAGAATCTCTGAGCAATTTTTCTGAAGTTATCATGGTGATATAGGCATTCTTAATAATAATATGAGCCTAATCCAAACAGGCTTCATTATTCTTGACAAAGACTGCTTGCATTGTTTTGTACTTATTATTACTACTGCAAATAGCAAGGAACATAAGTTTTACCAAAATTATGTAGTACAAGTAACCTTATGTCTCAAGGGCATTACACCTATCATGCCATTGTTGTCTTGTTCTCAAAGTTGCATATTATGGTGCATCAGCACCGAATGCTTCGTGGATAGTAAAGAGGTAAGGACAGGTTGCTACAGAATGGTAACTTCTTTAAAAGGCAGGTAAACCCTGTGCAGGGTTTAAGGGTTTTATTGAACTGAAAACAGTACACCTTTATTCAAGTTTTCATTTATTTTAATGAGAGTCTCATTTAGGCCAGCCCAGGTTCTGTTTCTTTGGGATTTAAATGACAGGACAGTGTGTCTTCATAAAAAATTTAATGGAGAAAGTGAGAGGTACTATCAAAAGCAGGGAAATACAAATAACTGGCTCCATCTTAAACATAATCTGGTCTGTGTTATCCTGCTTAAGAAAACGGGGGTGTTCTTTGTAAGAATGATTTAATGAGGTTTTTTTCCTTTATTTCCCTCCCCCTTTTCTTGAAGGTTGGACCAATGCCTTGGCTTGGTCCACAGACAGATGAGACCATTAAAGGACTGTGCCAAAGAGGAAAGAAGAACATGTTGTTGGTCCCAATAGCATTTACAAGTGACCACATTGAAACACTTTATGAACTGGATATTGAGTATGCCCAAGTTTTAGCGAATGAGGTGAATGTTTTATAGTTTTTACAACTGTTTGGATAGTGGTGCTCTGAAATTACTTTTCCTGCTTTGAAATGTGCTTTGTAGTTGCTTCTTGCAATATGATTTGGGGCAAATTTTATCTTTCTGTAAATTGAAAATTAATCTAAACTGGCTTAACTTAATTTGTAGCAACACAAAACAGGTGTGAATTTGTCTTTTCAGGTTTAACTCTTTAAGCCACTACTATCCTAACTAAAAAAGAGTCATGGATTTTTGGCAGCAAAGTGAAATTTTGCATCGTAGTTATTTTTGCTGTATTGAAAAACACAGTACGGCATTTAATTCCATCATTTTGGGGCAACTTCTGAATGAAGCAGAAAGGAAGATTTTGAAGGCTAACTAGCGAAGGATCTAGCAGACTTAACTTTTTTCTCCTTTTTTTGATTCAGTGTGGAGTTGAAAATATCAGAAGAGCAGAGTCTCTTAATGGAAATCCACTGTTCTCCAAGGTATCTTCTTTGTTGCAATAGTTATAAAAGTTTGCAGTTGTGTGTTTCCTACTAGATTATGGAGGTCTTATTGTAGTTTTAAAGTATTTTGAGTTTAAGAGCAAAAATGGAAACCCCTGAACTTAATCTGTATACCACGAAGTGTTTTCTTTTACCACAGTTTGTGTTGGGTTTTTTTTTGTGTGTTTTGTTTGTTTGGTTTGGGTTTTTTTTTGTTTTGGTTTTTTTTTTTTTTTTTAAAAGAAGTTCAGAAGCTTGGTTTGACAAAAAAGAAAAACAGTTTTATATTCATTTGTAGTAATCTTTTAATGAAATACTTCTCTTAAGATATTAATGCCAATGCAGTTTTAAAGTGGGATTTTCCCCTGAGGTAGAGGAGGGTAGTGCATAACAAGTGTAGTCTGATGGATACACAATTTGGCAATCTCACTAGTCAGTGTGACACATGTTAAAGCATTTTTTTATTTTAGGCAGATAGGTTTGCTCACTTCTGATTTTTAATTAACTGTCTTTCAGGCTCTGGCAGACTTGGTCTGTTCGCATATCCAGTCGAATGAAATCTGCTCTAGGCAGTTAACCCTCTGCTGTCCGCTCTGTGTAAATCCCGTCTGCAGGGAGACAAAAGCCTTCTTCACTAATCAACAGCTGTGATGGGTGGTCTAGGACAGCCCCGCTGGATTATACAGGAAAATTGTCCTGGTGAAGCGGTGCAAGGGAAAGAAACCGCTTGACCAAACTCTCTGCTGTTACATACTTACAGGCTGGTAGTCTGTGATGTTAACCTCATGTAACAGTGGGGAGAACTTGACTTTTTTGTTTATTTTTTCTTATGTTTTCTTTGTTTGAGAAGAGTTTGTAGAAAGTATGGAAATAAGGGCATTTATCTGGTGAGATGCGAAAAGATCTCGTTTCACCTGATCCTTATTGGACTTAGCACGAGCCCGTAAGTACGCACTGAAAAACTTAAAAAACTTTTCTACAGATTAGCTTCTATTTCCTATGCAGGGATTTATTTTATGCAGTTTTGTCATGAGTGCATTAATTTCAGCTTTCCAGGTCAAGCATACAATTATTTGTTTTTTTTATGCCTAAGGTACCAGCATAGTCACTGATTGTCTCTTCTGAGAGTGATTTTTCAGATGGATTTGAAGATCAAGTGGCTTCTAATGCTTTTAAAATAATGTGTGTATTTTTTTAGAACGTAAAGATAAAGCTTTGTTTTCTTTTGATTTTTTTCTCCTGCCAGAAACTTCCAGTGACAGCTTAGCTGGGATAATAGAACGCACAAGATTTGTTTACATTTTCTAGAAAAAACACTCTCATTATCTGCAGGAAAGCCTCTGCATGTGAAGAGCATAAAATGAAAGGAATAAGCCTGCTTGAGTGATGCTGAAGAACATGCTCAATTGAAACAAACTGTATGTTTCAAATCTAGCAGCTATCAGCAGCATGTATGGAAGCATGTTGGTTTATCTTTTAAGCAAAATGGCTTTTTAAAATTATTATTAGAAAGGGCTTTCTCTGTTTGGTTAAGTAAATTTAGGAAGTTGGGCTTGCTCTCCAGAAGGTTTATAGATCTGCTCTGTGCTTTCTACTATGCCACAGTGCTGTGGTTTTTGTGGGATACCTATGGAGTTCCATAGGTGCAATTGATCTAGCTTAACTGATGTTGTTGTTTAAAACTGAGATGATAAATCAGGAGTAATTTATATTGCAGATGCCTGAGAGTAGGCAGCCCCACAGGCTGACAGCTGTGTGCTTATGCATACCTTTGTCAAAAGCCGAATTTTGTCTGTTAGATTTTTGGCACTGATTGTGGGCTGGGAGTGTGCACTCATAACCCAGCTAAACGTCTTGCTTGTTTTGGCAGGTGTTTGGGTGCTTCAGGACTGCTGAATCCACTCCTAAGTAGTGGTAGTTTTGTAGAGTGAAAAACCTTTTTAGGGCAGTATTCCCTCACTGTCAGCACCGGGACCGGTGTCCAGGTTGGTCTTGGGATAGGAGGGGGGTTTTCTGAAAGGCTGGTCACCACACAGCATGCCTGAGCTTGGCACTTGAAGTAATTCAGGGCAGAAGTAGTGCAGCACCTCAGTCAGTGGTCCTCTCGCACAGGGACCTCTCCTCCTGGGTGGGACAAAGGAGGAGCAAAGCTATGACAGTGTTCTGTGGGACTGAGCCATACCTGTATTAGTCTAGCTGTCAACTTCATGGGTATAAATGTTTACTTTATATAATTAGCACTGAAATGCTGGTACTTTGGCAATGCAGGTTGTTGTCTGCAAACTGATGATTCAGCTAATTGTGATGTTTGAGAAGCCGATGCCATGCTGCTCAGTTTTATTTGGTTATGTAATTATGAGGTATGAACAGCTTGAACCTCTGATCTTTCAAGGATAGGGTTGTTTAAAAAGAAAATAGGCCTCTGTTGGTATAACAGGGGTTTATCTTGTTCTATTTTATGTTGAAAGAATTAAACGTAGGATACTAAAGAAATGAACAGATGCTGTGTGGATCAGCCAGTGGGCCGAGTACTGCCATGGAGCGATGTAAATCCTTGCTAGGGCCTGTGGCCTAATATGTCTTGAGAGTTGATTGATGTGTCTGCACTGCCATGCTGCAGCTTCCAAGTATGACTATGGTGAGCCAGACTTAAATTCCTTCCGTGCCAGAACCTCCTACATTACTGCTGTCCCTCGTTGCTTTAGCAGAAAGAAGTCTTCCTTGACCCTTCATACCTGTGCCTGTTTCAGTGGCGGGGAGCCAGAAGCTGGGGCTTCTGTTCTCCCTTTCTTGCTCCATCCTTGGTCTCTGCCCGCTGCCTCGGCAGGAAGAAAGAACGCAAAGCTGATTCCTGCCCTCGCTCAGGTGGAGTAGGTAGAGTGTCACGTGTATGGAAGAGTGAAATTTTCATGGAAAAGCTTTGAATCAATGTCAAAAGAATACAAATGACTGCAGTATGTCTGGGAAGGGAACACTGGCCTTATGTCTCTCGTTGGACAAAGAACTTTCTCCATTCCCATTTCTCTACTTGACACTTATGGGTCAGTGGAAAACAATCTGTTTTGTAAAATCTTCCTACTTACACCTCTTTGCTACCAGCTGAAGGGTATATTGACCTTCAAATCCAGGTTGTGACCAGCACGTTTAGAAGCTGGAAAGTGAAGGTTAATGTCATATGAACATTGCGATACTATAAATATAGATTGGCTTTTTATTTCCGTACTGGAGAGAGTACTGAAAATATTAGCCAGCACTAATTGTGAGGCATTATGTTTGTCCCCAGTAATAAAAGGTATTTAAAATTAGCTTTTTAGTATGCTAACCACAAGTGAGATAATTACTAAGCCTATTGCTGCTATTAGACCGTAATGTAGAAATCACTTAATTTTCTAGCTTTTAGCAGAAGGATCTTGTCTCATAGAGTTGGTGGGAGTTCTTTTGCTGAACAGATCATGTAATATCACTGTCCTGCTATTTAACACACGTTATTTTGTCTTAGCGCAGCATCAAAAGCCTGTTGAAAAACTACCTGAGCAAGTTAGCTAGCAGCTCTGCTTAATATTTTTAATAGAAATCAAGATAACAGTGAGACTAATAACAGTGGGAATTCTGCTGCCATTGAGATCTAATCCTGGGTTTTCTGTTTGGGAGCATTTCTGACTATGCTAACTAACCTTACTTTAGATGCTTCCGATCTACAGGCCGACATCTGAGCTGGTCTCCTAGGTAGTATTTATGGTCAAAAGATTGTTTTAATAGGTGTCTCTGAGAAATTATTCATCTCTCAAAGCAGACGTCCACAACAGGTTGGATGAGTTTCACTCCGTTGCTGCCTCTGACGATGAAGGGAGTGTGGTGCGCTAACTCAGAGGTAGTTAGCTACGTTGCACATGTCTAACACGAGGAGAGACCCCATTTACGTGCCTTCTTCTTCAGCACTCTGCTAGTGATGTGTAGCCGCTGCATTTGGGAGGTTGCAGTCTTAATCCTACAGTTATGCATTCAGTTTGCCCCTCTGGCAGATTTTAAACATTTGGTGCTACTAACTCAGGACCCAATCTCGTCAGATCCTGAGCGCTTTCTGCTCTGGTTGAATTGACTTGAGCATAAGGAAGTGTCAGCATCTGTGAGACTCTAGTCCTTGGACAATGATCTAGTTTGATTTTTTTCGTTGTCAGTTACAAGTCCTTTTGCAGTACTTCATTTCATTTGCAAGTGTTTATCATTTACATATGCCCTGACAGAAAGCAACCAGTTGGAAGTGAGCTGAAGTGACGTGTTGAGGCAGCGTTGTATCCCAAGATTTCGTAGGTGAGAGCCGAGTCCTCAGCTGGACTTGAGCAGTGGGGGGCTTTGGGGGCGGTGCGGTGTCCCTGTCCCCTTGCCCAGGCTGCTCAGTCTGACGCTGCCGATGCTGGTGGTGCCGTTTGCAGCGCAGGCTGACAAACAGCTGCACAACTGAGACTACGCCTGAAAATAGGAATGAGAGCTGGGGAGTGAAATCTTCACACCAGCACTCCCAGCGCTGTGGAGCTCTGGCCTGAGGATACTGATTGAAAAATAGAGGAGTTCAGAAACAGAGCCCTTGGTGTCCTAAGGAAAGGAGTGGGAAGTAAAGGTTTGCAAATGGAATGTTTTGAAGAATTTGCTCATGATTAGGCTGTTCTCCTGATTTAACTCTCTGCAATTTTGCTTTTTTCTTTCTTTGTTTAGTTGAAGTTTTTCTCTTTTGGAGTTTATAAAATCTCCCTTATTACTGGCTGCATTTTAGAAAATGTGGTAACTTCCAAAAGCGGTGCTGTAATATTAAAAGGTGTGTGGGTAGCGTCTGTGAGCTAACCTCCTGCTCCCCCTGGAGAAGAGGGTGTTACAGTTGAGTTCAGTGGGGCAGGGATTTTCCTAGGAATATCTAAAAGCTCACTTTATTTTCCATTTCTACCACACGCAGAGAGCTGGAAATCAGTGTGAAGTGTAAGATGCAAGAGAGAGAGAAGTTCCTTTTATTTTTTAATGCCAGATGTGTACAAATACTTGCTTTTAGT